CTCTCTTCATATGGGACCTGTTCAAACCCCTGATCATTTTAGTTGCCCTCCCCTCTCACATCCTCTCTCTTCCCCTCTCCCACCTCCTTTTCCCAGTCTCCCCGAGTTTTGTTCAATAAAGAGAGTTTCTATTTTTGAACACACGTGTCCTTTATTGTGTACATGAGGAAGGGGGGCTAGAGAGGGGTAAGTGGAAGGAGGTGAGGGAGGAATGGGGTACGAGCCCCCAATGGGGAGGACTGGGGTGGCTCTGCGGGTTCCTCGGGGTGGAAGCTCTCCTGCAGCCCCCCGATTGACCCCTCCCCAGATGGCAGCCTGCAGCAAGTGCAGCCAGGCTGATGGCCAAGTGCTGTGATGTGCCCAGTGTGGGCATTCAGGGCACTCCAAGCCAGGACTGCTTTGCTGTCCCTCATCGAGTTAGACAAGCGAGCGGGGAACCCCTGAGAACTGTCTGTCCGGGGTGGGGTCAGGACCCTTTAAGCACAGCCCTCGGCTAGCCGGAGACAGCAGCTTCACGCTCTAAGTCCTAATCTGATGCCCTGCCGGCACTGCTTCCGGCCATTCTTAACGTCGGTTCAGGGTCCACTCAATGTGGACATGCTAGTTCGAATTAGCAAAACACTAATTCGAACTAGTTTTTAGGTTTAGTTGCACTAGCTCAAATTAGCTTAGTTCGAATTAGTGCTGTAGTGTAGACATACCCTATGAGATTTCAACTGAATTACTAAGAGAACAGCCTACAACTCACAAGTGGCTCACTTGGGTAATTTTCTTTGATATGTCAGATGAGGCATTCCTCATAAAGCCCTTATTATGCACCAGAGATGTCACAGAAGAGAATAGAGAATGTGATTTAATCAAAACTATAGTAGATTCTAAGGATCTACATTTTTCATGTTAGATTAGCAATCACACAATACTTCATTAGCTTCGCCAATTCTAACAGAAGAAAAAAAGACATCAGTGTAATTAAGATTTTTTCTTGAGCCAAGGAAAATGAAATTTACTAAAATGAAAAAATTATTATCACAAAATGCCAGTTTTTCTCATTGAACGTGAGAGAGATTGTTAAATTCTAAACTAAAAGTGAAAGGCAGATTTGCCAAGATAGCAGTTGGACCACTAAACTTGTAATGGCCCCCAAAAGAACAAAAGACAAGCCAAAACCAAAGAGAACATTGGCTCTCCTTTCAGGAAGACATCCAGGAAGCTCCTGAGTTTGTAGATGGACAGAAGGAAGAGATGTCAACTCTCTGACAATGAAAAATGCAAGAGCAACAAACAGAGTCTCCAACTGTAGGATCTTCCTCAGCAGAACATATGATTCCATTTTGTAACTGATTGTATTAGTTTTATGGTGGCTATTTTCAGCTACTATTGATTTATTTGGAATTAATTATGTTAAAAGTGGGGATTGAGAGACAATGCAACAATAACCACATGCTTCATTTTCATCTTCTTACCTTTTATTTTCAAATCTAGATGTCAACTTTTTTTAAAATATATGTAATAAATTAATCCCTCATTGCTCTGTTTAGTGCTAAGTAACCTTGTCATTTTGGGGCTGAATGTTACTGTAATTTATGATCTGTCTGGAATTACTTCATGAGTTGTTATTCTTAGGAAACAGTTAAAAAGACAGAAAAATCCAGCTAATTCCTTCATCTAAGATGACTTCCACAAAAGAAATAATTGTGTAGACTATTGTCTTTGTTGCTTGGGATTTTCTAAATGTCTCAATTACTACATATTTTCAGTGTTGATCACAAGTAGCACTTACGTACTCACAGAGCTCTTTGACTCTCTTCAAGGTACTGTTTCTTTTGATCAATAAAATATTTGCTGAGTTTGGAGCTATCTGACATGAATGGTAAAACTGTGTGACTTCAGAAGGTCATAAGACCACAGCAAAAAGATTCTTAAATAAAATAAAGGGAACAATGGTAATATTAAATCCTTTGAACGCATCTGCACATCAAGGATGAGAGAACAGTGGGGAGTCCTGCTAAAGATGTGGATGCCATATTATCCAGGGATCGCTAGTATGTTAAGTACACAGTGACTTTCATGGCTTATTTGGTTTGATTCATAAAGGTTTGCTTGTTAAATAAACTAGATGAAAAGAACAAAATTTACAGAGAGAATAATTTTCTCCACTTTGAATCTTCTAACTTAAATTATTTCAGTGCCTAATAAAACTAGAGAGATGTGTTGTAATGGGACAAGCTGGTTTCAATATGCTCCCAGTAAAGTCAATGGGATTTTTGGCATTGACTTAATAGGAGGAGGATAAAATCCTCACCAACTTGTTTAAGAGTTCTATTTTATGGAGATTATAGGCCAGATTTCAAAACAATCTCTAAACCCTAAAGGATGTATAAAATCCTTTAGAAAATTTGGCTCAGTGACGTGTGTAACAGAATTTGAAGGGATGTAAAGTATTTCCAGTAGTCCACATGACAAAATAGAAAGAAAATGTTAGTTTTTTTAAAAAAATGTTTTACCTTCAATAAACTGACAAAAGTTTCCTGGAAGGCTACTGAGGCTGAGCTACCTGATTCTGCTTCCCTGTATAGATGCCAGCTTTGGGGCTGGAGAGTCAGGGATCCTGGGCATTCCTTTCAGATTACACTCCAGCTCCAATACCTGAATGCCTGGACTTTCTGTTCTGGCCTTGGGGATAGGGGAGAGGCGCTCTGCCTCACCAGCACGTGGGCAGGAAGGCTCTTGTCAAATTTACCAGAGCTCTCCGGGAGGGATGCTGAGGCTGATTCTCTTAGCCTCCTTCCTCCTCCTACACAAATTCTGGGCCTAAGGAAACAGAACACATTGGGCTCTCCCGCTTCAATTCTTGAACTTGAGGGGAGATGATATCTCTGGGCACAGCTTAGGGTACAGTGAATGAGGGGAGGGAGGCACATGAATTTCACAAAGAGAATTTTTACCATACAGCAAATAAAGAAAAAAAAAACCTTGATTGCAAATATACATTTTCCCTCTGCTCTCAATCCGCACTGATCTGTACCTCAAGGTCCAGCCCAGGCATGGTAATTCTGGTTGATTATTTCATCTTGTTTCTGTAGCTGCTAACTTACAACTCCCTTACAAAGAGAGCAGGCAAGGTAGATATTTACAATTTAAATTTCTGTACTGTATCCCATTTGTTCTTCTGGCTTCCTGCCAACACCTTTAGCTACCCCAGTTTAACCCTTTAGTCACCAACGGCTGGCCAGCACTCCTCCAATCC